TGTTTTCTTCTTTGTATTTTATGATTTCAAGCCCGGTATTCAAGTCTTTAGCTCATTTTGACTTAATTTGTGTGTCTGGTGTGAGATAGTGGTCTAGTTTCATTTATTTACATGTGGCAGCTCAGTTTTCCCAACACCATTTATTGAAGAGACTTTCTCTATTTCATGCTCTTAGCTCCTTTGTCAAAATTAATTGTCCATATATGTGTAGGCTGGTTTCTGGGCTCTTAACTCTGCTCCATTGATTATGAGTGTGCTTTATTCCAACCCCACGATGCTTTGTAGAATTCCCACCCTCTGTGAGTTGGATGCAGGGGGTTGGGGGACCTCATTCAAAGTTTCTCTCCAGGCCAGTGATTCTGAGACTTTAGCATGCAGCAGAATCACCTGGCAGGGGAGTGAGGGTGTGTTAAAATGCATATTGCTCAAGGGGCCTCCCTGGTGGCCCAAAGGGTTAAGATCCAACCTATGAAGCTATCTGCAGCCACTGCAGCACAAGTTCGACCCTGGCCAGGGAGCAACCCACATGGTGCAGCAGACCTCTCTTGACTCGCCCACTGCTCCCCACAGCGGTGTACTTCAATCCGCCTGTTCTGCTCCCCACTCTGTCTCTGGTGAATCCTCTCACACACCCCCACCACTGCACCTCTGGCCTGTAACCCAGCTCTTGTATGCATGAATAAATAAATAAATCTTTTAAAAAAAATACAGATTATTCAACACATCCTGAGTCAGTGGGTCTGGGACAGAGCCTGAGAATCTGTATTTTTAACAAGCTCCAGGTGTTCCTGCTGTTGTTGGTCCAGGGTCCTACTGTTGCCAAACTCTGAGATGCACTAACCCAGGTCATTCACTCCCTGGGATCCCCCATCTGATGCCTGGCAGTGGTGTAAGAGGCTGAGAGGTCTCGAAACCTCATTCCAATCAAAATAACAGCTGCTGCTCTGTGCCTGGTATTGTGCTAAGGGCTGTGCATCTGTTCCCTTGCCTAATCCCCACACCAGAGCCATGCAGTTTCACTAGTACTAACTCAACTTTATGGTGAGAAAGCTGAGGCCTGGTTGATGGTGACGATTTCTATACCCCAGCTCAGCCACGGACACACTGAGCGAGCTCTGGGGCAAGTGGTTCCCCTGCCCTCAGTAAAAAGGGCATCATAAACCCTGATTTCCAGGGGCACATTAAGGACATTTGGGCTGTGATTACAAGAGCACTTGCACATAGTAGGTACACAAGAAATGTTTATTCCTTTTCCTGCTGTAAATCCCCTAGTGATCTTATGGTCCTTTTCTTTCATCCCTTTTGTTTCATCTTCTTCCTCCCGTCAAACTATGGCTTCCTGGAAAGCCATATTGGATCTCTTGTCACTTCCTAATCATGATTCACTTGGTCCTGCTGCCAGGACTTTGTTAAGGCTGTTGACTCTTCATGGAAATGCCTTTCTTACCATTGTTTCAGAGAAACTCCTACTGATCCCTCAAAACCCACCTTAGAAATTCCTTCCTCTTTATATTTTTCTCTTGAAATGTTGTTCTCTTCCTGTCCTTGGGCAGAAAATTTTCTAGGATTGCAGCATCTTCTTGAAAGAAGGCACTCAAGGGTTTCCTCCCTCCCTCTGTTCTTTCCTCCCCACTTGTGTTTCCACAGCAGTTTATGTGGAGTATAATTTGAGATACAAATTGTATCTTTACAGGGACCAGGCAGGTAGCACCACCATTATCTGCATCAGCATCATCCACACTTAGTGTTTATCACACACCAGACACTGTTTTAAGAGGTTGAGGCAGATCAACTCATTAGATGCCTAAAACAACCCTTTGAGGCAAGTACTACTAATTATTCCTGTTTTTACACACAAGTAAATAGAGTCATAAATATGCTAAATAATTGCCTAAGACCACCCTAGTCTGGCAGAGCTGGGATTCGAAGCTGGCTCTGAGTCTGTTAGTCACTTTTATATTATGCTGCGTCTTATGAAAGAGATGGGCCCGGTGGGTACTGCACCTGCTCCTTCCCAGGGCACGGCATGTGTTGGGCTTGGAGTTGTCAGCTTTCCTGATTTTCTTTTCTCACAAGGCCCCAGAAATACAGTTTTATGTGACAGTCCCACTTTTTAACATCTTGGGAGTAATATAATATTTTGAAAGGAGCAAAGTCCTCATAAAAGCTGCCCCAGGCCTCCTGCCTGCTTTCTCCTAAACCTCAAAGGTCCGGCCCTGGGCTCACTTCCTTTCTGCACCTCAGCTCAGGGGCCTTTGTAAGAACGGGGTCACTTCTGGACCCCCCCCGTGAGATGAACTTGACTCCAGCCAAGCAGAGATGGAGCCTCAGTCCCACATAGCACTCAGACTCTCCAGCCCATACTTGGACGAGGTCCCAAATCGGGGCTCTGCGTGTCACCCTACCAGGGGCTGTCTCCTGAATCAGACTGCGTGTCACCCTACCAGGGGCTGTCTCCTGACCTCCGCTGTCCAGAACCAGATGCCCTGCCATCTGAGTGCAGACAAAGCTCTAAGCGCTGTCTGATAGTCCCACTGACCCACTCAACAGTTTGGAGGTCGGATGCAGAAACAGTGGCGGGGGCGGGGGTGGGGGCAGGGGTGGTGAGAGGTGGGGAGTTGATTGAGCAAGGTAATGGGGGAACTGGGACAGTAATGCCGGCTTCCCCTCAACTGGCTGTTATCAGGCATTTCACCAAACTTGAGGGTGCTGTCACATTCCAGCCTGGACCTGGAAAGCTTGCATGCAGCACACAAATGGAAGCTTGGACACTCCCTTCTCTTAGCTGTGGTTCCAAACTCCTCTGTCTTCCATTGAAGGGTGGGGTGGCATTGGCATCAAGAGATAACCTGTGGGCATTACCTGCTCCATCAAAGGGGGCAGCTGCGTGTTGGGCCTGGACCTTATGGGAACCCTGCCCACTGGGGCCTGGACAGGCAGCACCTGTGGCCTGGCTCAGTCCCAGGCTTTGGGCTCAGCAGAGACCACAGAGAGAGGGGGTGTGGTGTTTGTCGTCACCCACAGACTGGATGAAAGTGTGTACGTACGTGTCCCCCATGCATGTGTGCAGTATGTGTGCTTGTGCATGCAGAACACACGTGAGTGAGCAGGTGCATGTGTACAAGAGTAGAGCTGTGTGCAGGGCCTATCATGTGCATGCACTGTGTACTCAAGTGCATGTGTGTGCCTTGTGTTGTGCAAATACCTACGCCTATGTGCATACGTGTGCATGTACAATGGAGAAAAGGGACCTTGTCTCCCAAACACACATCCTGAAAGTTAGTTTAGGATAAAGAAGAGAGACGTTTTACTTAACCTAGAAATGCCAGTGTACAGAAGAGGCTGAAATAAAAACCAGTCTCCTGGATTTTACGATCTAAATGCCCATCAGAAGGCATATCTATGCAGCAAACTATTCAGCTGTTAAATAAATGAGCTAGATTTATGTGCAGCAACATGGATAACTCAAGGAAGTGATAACTGGGGGGTGGGGCGGGAAGGTAAGCCAAGCTGCAGAATAATATGATAGCAGTTCTACTAAACACTACCTACATTACTACACATGTTACATGTCTGCCATTGGTATGCACCCATATAACTGCAGAGGTGTAGGCAAGGTCTGGAAGGAACACCCTAAATTATGAATCTCTGAGAAGTGGGGAGGGCAGGAGTTGGAAGATGACAAAAGAGAATGAATCTATGTGTTCCTCCTGGAATGACAGCTCAGAGGGTAGGTAGGGTCTCGCAAGGATGTCCCGGGGTCAGGGGTGCTGAGACACAGGGTGGCACACAGCTCCCCAAGGATTGCTGAAGGCTGCTCAGCCAGGGACAAACACCAGCCTCCACTCTCTGGAGCTTCTGTGGATGGAGAATCTCTGTTGACTCCCCCTAAATTTCTCTATGCCTCAGTTTCTCCCTCCACGCTAGAGGCAGGAGGCCCAAACTCCTGCTGGGCCTTTTCACCCTTGTCCCACCCAACACAGGGAAGAGATAGGGGGGGGGGGGAGTGTCCCCCAAGCCTTGACCCCTGCGCGGTGATCTGGCCCAGAGGGGTCCTCAGAGAATACACCCATTTCCTACAGAAGGGGCTGAGAGGCGGCTGAGAGCCGCGGGCTCTGGGTTCCAGGGCGGCTCTGAGACTTGCCAGGGGCACCCAGGGGCTCCCCTCTGCGAGGCGGGGACACAGGAGCCCCGCCGCCCCGGGTGTGCGCGAGCTGCCGGCTCCTTCCAGGAAAGCGTCGCTCTTCCCCCGCACCCAGCGCGGACGCAGCCCGAGCGCAAGTTTCGCTGTGGTCACCCCAGGGCCACCCCTCACCCCGCCCTCGGCGCCCGGACCCCGCGAAACCCTCGGCGGGCGGCCCGCCCCCGCGCCGGGCGCTCTCCCCGCCCGCGGTGCCCGCGCGCCCCGGCGCCTCCCGCGGGGCCCGAGGCCGGGGCAGCGGCGGGGCGAGGGGGCGCGGGGAGGGGCTGCCGGGCCGCGTCCTACCTGCTTCCCGCGGCGGCTCCGGGGCGGCTCCGGGCGGCGGTGGCGCGGGGGCTGGAGCGCGCGGCCAGGCGGCGCCCAGGGAGCCGGCGGAGGGCCGGGCGGCCCGGGAGTGCCCGCGGGCGGAGCTTGCCCGCGACGGCCCCGCCACCGCCGGTCCCCGCCGCCCGCGCCGCCCCCTCGGGGCGCCGGCCCTCCCCCGCGCCCCGCCGAGCCCCGGGGGCGCGCGCCCCTCGCACCCACGTGGCACGGTCACTCGGACGCCCCACCCGCCCCGCGCGCACCTGCGTCCCGGTCCCCGCCCCGCCCCGCGCAGCCCAACGCCCACAAAGAGGTGCACTGAGACCCCCAAACGCGTGCCCCCAAACAGATCGCCATCCCCCACATTCCCCGCCCCTCCCCACCCCGTCTCTTCCTTGCCCCCCCCCCCCCCCGGCCCCCAACATCGCACAAGACCATCCATCCTACCTCTCTGTGGACCTGCCGGCGCAGCCTCACCGAAACATCACAAACACACCTGGACAGCCGCGCCCCTGGTCGCATCCACACCCCCGCAGGCACAGCTTGTCCTCGGGGCAAGGTGGGGACTTTCGGGAGTTTGCTTAGGAACTGGCCTGTGCAGCTGATTTCCCCGGAAGCCTCGCAGCGCCTCACCCGACCTTTGAATTCGCTCTCCTCGGCTTTTGCAGTGACCTTCTCTCTGCCTCACCCACCCTCTCCACTACCTGAAGGCCCCACAGGGGCATTAGGAATTCCAACAGCATCCGGGCTGGGAGTTGGGGCCTCGGCTTCCTCCCACTGCCCGGTTTGAAGACTTCAGGGGCCTCCCTGGTGGCGCAAGGGGTTGAGCACCACACTATGAAGCAATCCGCAGCCACTGCAGCATGAGTTCGATCCCTGGCCAGGGACATGGCGCAGCAGACCTCTCCTGACTCGCCCGCTGCTCCCCTCAGCAGTGTATTTCAGTCAGTCTGCCTGTTCTGCTCCCCACTCTGTCTCTGGGGAATCCTCTCACCCCCCACATCTCTGGCCTGTACCCCAGCTCTTGTATGCATAAAAAAAGAAAAAAAGACTTCAGGGCTGCAGGGTCTTCCCAGTTGCTCTAATCTCACTTCCCCCCTCCCCTTCCTGCTTGTGGTCCATCAGGCCATGGTGTCCAGGACTATCATTTCAGCCACTTCCTAGCCAATACCCTCTCCACAAGGGTCTTTATTTAATTTGTGCATGGCCTAGCCCAAAGGTCAGCCTTTTTATCCCACTCTTGAGAGACCGAAACTTTTCTCCTGTTGTGTAAAAAGTGATGGCAAGTGTAGTGGCTTAAAATGACACAATTTGTTATCTTACTGTTCTGGAGGTTGTAAGTCCCACAGCCCTAAATCAATCATTGGGTAAACTGGTGTTCTTCTGGAGGCCCAGGGGAGAGTGGATTTCCTTGCCTTTCCCAGCTTCAGGCTACTGCCTGCTTTCCTGAGCTTGTGGCCTCTTTCTCCATCTTAAGAGCTGGCAATGTCCAACCAAGTCTTTCTCACAGGCCATCTCTCTGGTTCTCTTTTCTGCCTCCCTCTGCACTTAAAAGATCCTAGTAATTACATTTGGCTGATTTAGATAATCTAGGATAATCTCTCCATTTCTAGGTCAACTGATTGCCAACCTTAATTCTATCTGCAATTTTAATTCCCTTTTGTCATGTAATTTAATACACTCACAGAATCTAGGAATGAGGACATAGCCTTCTTGCGGGGAGGGGAGGTTGCTTTTCTGTCTACTGCAGAGATAAAGCCTTTGGGAGGATGCGTCCTAGTGTGGAAAATTAGTCAACCAAGATTTTTGGTACTTTGAATGTATGACCCTCTATAAGTAGAAAGAAGTTTATCGTTGTTATTTGATGGAATATGATACAACACTTAACAAGAGCACATTCCACCTATGTATATGGATTTTCATAGGCTTCAAAATTATGAGTGAAAAAAACAAGAGAATTGGAATTTTTATAGCGTCTAATCTGTGCCACAAACTGTTCTAAGCACTCATATCAAAACTCACAATAACCGGCGCCTCCCTGGTGGCGCAAGGGGTTAAGACACAACCTATGAAGCTATCTGCAATCACTGCTGCTTGAATTCCTCCATCCCCAGCCAGGGAGCTGACCCACAAGGTGCAGTAGACCTCTCCTGACTCACCTGCTGCTTCCCTCAGCAGTGTACTTTGGTCCATCTGCCTGCTCTGTTTCCTACTCTGTCTTTGGTGAATCCTCTCATCTCCCACACCTCTGGCCTATACCCCAGTTCTTGTATGCATAAATAAATAAATCTTAAAAAAAAAACCTCACAATAACCCCCCATGTGAAGTGTTACCCTTATTTTATTGATGTGAAACTGTCGCACAAAGAGGTTGAGTAACTTGTCCAAGGCCCCACAGCTAAGAACCATGAGAGCTGGGATTTGAACCCAGGCAGCCTTAATCCAGAGCCTGTGCCTTTAACTGCAGCAATTTATCTGTACACCATGAGTCAATTCAAGTATATTTTTTAAAGCACACAAAACTCTTACGTATACTCTAAGGAATTTATTACTATAAATACTGGAGGGAAACCACTGGAATGCATGATGGGGTTCAGAAAGGTATTCTAACATTAGCCAGGAAGTTTAATTAATGAATTAAAAAAAAAAAACAGAAGCAAATATTACAAAATGTTAACTTGTAGTTATGAGTGGTGAGGCCTTGGGTGATTATTTATCTTTTGTTCCTTTCTGTATTTAAAAAATTGATTTCCGAAAAATACTGTGGTCTCTGAACTCAGTAATGTCTTTACATTTTTGTTTTCTTATTGTTCTCATTCCTCTTGTTACTGATTTTGAAGGACTTTTGTCTGGCTTTGACCAATTAATCCCCCACAAATTTTGAAAAGCCCTTAATAGGTTTCAACTAGAGCCTGTTTGTTATGGATCACATGAGAGGAGAGGATGGCAACTTCCCTGAGCCACACTCTTGACCTGACACTGTGGGGGGCCCTGGGTTGACAGTGTTGGTTACCTGGGTGGGGTGGCAGGGGACCAGCGCACAGCAACTGGGCTAGGCAACACTGGGGCACTTGCAGATGTGCTACCTGCTTCTTTATAGGTTGACTCTCATTAGTATCTTAGTCTCCACCCAGGGGTGTGCTTTTTAGCATGTTAATGAGACCTAGGTTACTTTTAGGTCAGTTTTCTGCCATCTGCAAGGCTATCAGCTTTCAGCTGACTCTGGATCGCTTGCCCAAAAGTGAGAAGCCTCTGCAGAGCAGAGGGTCTGTTTCTCACTGGTGATTGGCCTGGCTGGGGCCTATTGGCCTAGAGGCTCAATAACAGGAAGTTTAGACAAGCAAGATCAGGGACCCAGTCTTGTAACATTTTCATTTCATTTTGTATAGGCTCGCCATAGGAGGTCCTTAATAAGAGTCCTCAGAGGTTTTGATTTCAGGAATCCTTTGCACTTTTTTTTAAATTTTATTTTTATTTATTGATGTACAAAACTGGGGTGTAGCCAGAGGTGTGGAAGGTGGGTGGTAAGAGGGTTCACCAGAGACAAGGTGGGGAGCAGAACAGGCAGACTGACTGAAATACACTGCTGAGGGGAACAGTGGGCAAGACAGGAGAGGTCTGCTGCGCCATGTGGGTCAGCTCCCTGGCTAGGGTTCGAACTCATGCTGCAGTGGCTGGCGGTAGCTTGATAGTGCTGAGACTTTCACCTCTGCGCCACCAGGGAGGCCCAATCCTCTGTGCTTTTAAAAATTATGAAGTCCCCAAAGATATTTTATTTATGTGAGTTATGTCTATTAGTAGGTACCGTATCAAAAATGTAAAAGATAATTTTGAAATATTTTATTCATTCCTTAAACTGTGACATGATGAACCCATTACATGTTAACATAATTAAAATGCACTTATGAAATATATTTTCCCCAACAATGAAAATTAGTGGGAAGAATGGCATTGCTTAGCATTTGTGCAAATTTCTTTAGTCTGGTTTAATAAAATCGGCTGGATGCTCATAGCTGTTTCTGCATTGGGTCTATTGCAAATATATTGTTTCAGATGAAATGCATGAAGGAAATCAGCCTTGTTATAATTTTACCCCCCACTGCTTTTGTCAACTGTTGCTTTTGTCAGTACAAATATAAACATGGTAAAAAATGGAAAATAACCCCTTGGTCCTCTTATGAAGAGAATTTTGACCTCATGGTCTTGAAAGTCTTAGCTCCCTCTTCCTACCTGCTGTGGACCACACTTTGAAAATACTGGTATATTCAGTTATGATCACAAAAAATGGCTGGCATTTGACTATCACTGATCTACAAAAATAACACTTTTTCTATGGTTCCACCTAATGCGTGTTATTGTGGGGAATTCTCCTTTGGGCTCACCCACTGTGTTTTCCCGGCCAGACTCCATCATTGGACATTTTTAGCAGCATCTCTGCCAGTACCATGCAGGTCTTTGTGTTATGACTTCTAGCCTGTGGGGAGCTGAAGTTGCGTGTGTTTTAAGGTGTGTGTTTTAAGCAGTTGTGAGCAAAGGGAGTTGTGTTCTCTCAGAGTTGGCCTGGCTTCATGAAGAGCAAACTAACTTCTTTCCTTTTTAATCCTTTGGAGAAGAGAGGCAATTCTCCCTTTTTTGATAAAAATTCTGGTCTGAAACATGTGAGATAATGTCTACGTGGAGTTTTGCCAGGTGTTTAGAATGATGACTCGGCTAAAATGAAAAAAAAAAATAAATAAAGACCAACACTTCTTTTAGATGAAGACCCGTGGGCTCAATATGTATGAATGCTTAACTGGTTTGGGAGGTCTGTAAGGTCAAAGAATGTTCTGATGCGTATTTGTATACTATTGTGGAAGGCCAGTCCTCCTGCTTTATTTAATCAGGTTAGTGCAATTCTAGCAGATGATGAGATATGAAAGGGGATCCAAGATTAGCCTCATCAGCCAGCCCTGGTTATCAATGGGGTGTTAGCAATTGCACTTGATAAACCACTATCTAAACAATAGCTTGCATAAAAGATAAGATGAATATATATTTTTTTCTCCAGCAGGAGGGGGGCAGTGATTTATTCTACTTTGGATAATTACACCTGATCCACCCCTTGTCCAGCTCTTGATCCTGGGGAAGTTGATCACATTTATTATCACCACCCTAGTGTGATGTCACACCCCCCCCCACCATGGGCAGCACTTTTTATTCCTCTTGGGTTATTGATTAATTCAGGGGAGGGAACATGACCCCACTGGGTTTTACTCTGAGCATGTAGGGAGTGCTGCCTGCTTTTGAGTTGTTCAGATGGGGAGCTGCTGCTGGGAAGAGAATGTGTCAGAATGAATCTTGAGGGTTTGGAGAGCTTCCAGGCTAGTGAACTGTGAGCTGTGTCTCTCCCTTGTACCTTGCCCTGTCCATCATCTCTTCCATCTGATTGTCCCTGTTATATCCTTTTATAATAAGCCAGTGATGTAGTTAAAAAAAAAAAAAAAAGACTGAATCTCGACCAAAAAGATGATAGAGAAAGTAGGTCCTGGCTCCATCATGTACCCCCCCATCAAGCCATACCTGAAACTAGCCCTACCCCTGG